CAGGGGGCAGAAAGACTATACGACATTGGGTAAGTTGAAGTCGTTCCAATATGTGTCTGGCATACCGGGAGTGGCGTATAATCCCTTCGTGAATGAGGAAGCCACGGAAGCGTACTTCGACTATGAACAAGTTATAGTACTCAATTTCTGGCTAGAGCGAGTCAAAGAAACTGGCATGTTGATGGTGGAACAACCCAAGCTGGGTATTGTTTTGGAGGAACGAGTGGTCGAACCCTCGGTTCCCGAGCTGAAGGTGCAAGTGAGTTTTGATTGTGGTTCTTGGGACGGTCCCTTGAAAACCAGCTTAGTAACCATGTGGGAACTCATGAAGCCTTCTTGGTGTCCACATCCAAACGCCGGTTTAATCTGGGATATGACGGCAGATATTACGTTGGACTTGGATGATGACGCGAGTTTGCACGATCTGGCCATGATACACCATCTGCTGGCCATAAGAGTAACGAAGCAGAAAAACAACCCATCCACGGAACCATCCGAGGGAAGTGCATCGAGTGACTGGCTGAGACAGACACCTGTCTAGCTCACAATAGTGGGATGGACGGACATATATGCGACTCGGAACATTGCTTGATCACGCCAATTGGCACAACTTTATGGGAGGTTGAGCATGTCAGATTAGAGTGGAATGGAGTTGATCGCGGACTGTCATGGAGTAACGGAGGTAAACTTGATCAATGACTTGGGATTTTGCAGCATGACAAGCTCGATAGAGTCACTGGAGCTCCTAGAGCGTGCCCATGAGCTAGTGACGTCCCTCAGCGTGGAAGTATTCCCTGGAGCACTACAGACAGAGCAGAAGATCGGAGGCTGGTGAGAAGCTCTGGAAAACGAAATGGACTTGAAGGATAGTGAGGCCTATCATAGACCTTTTGGCTCGAAATATCTGGTGGGTTCGAGCTCTGCACCATATTGCAATATATGATACCCTACGCACATGGTAGTGATGGATGCGAGGACACAGCAGGTGTTGGTTGACCAACTCTTCTCTGTGCCAAAGTGCGTGAGGTTGGCCAGAATGTCGGAAAGGTCATATGATTTATTGGCAAAGATCATTCGGGCTGTCCCGAAGAGATCTGAAGGCGAGTTGCAAAACGTAGTGGGTGAAAAAATCATGAGATTGAACGAGGGTAATGTGAGTGAATTCCAGAAGTAGAAGGCGATTGGAGCGTTACCCATTGAGTTTCCCACCATAGAAGGAAAGGACGAGGTGCATAGAAAAATGATGGAAGTGGAACCGTTGCTGGGAGCCTCAGGGTATCGGACCGGAAGGAACATACTAATGACCCATGGGGAGTATCCTTGCCACTGCCTGGCGCAGACGTTGTGGTACCCCAAACGCGGGAATCTGGTATTAATGTGGGACGTGGAGGAGTTGTACTCCACGGGGTTGCCCGATCAAAATCAACGAGTGTCGATTGTGGTGGTGAGTGCCATGCTGGCGGTGAGGTGGTTAGAAGCCAACGCGGGCTCATGTGAGCAGGAGACGGCCGTGCCGACTCCTGAGCAGCTAAGCAACGTAAAGATGAACCGCAACTTAGACCTTTTCAGAACCACCTGCAAGATTCTGAGAATACCCAAAGCCATTGAAAGAATATGGTCAAGGCAAAGATTGATGCCTTGGTTCCGTGCTGTGATGACGTCATGGATGTATGAACGCGCGAAGCGTCATATGTCTAGGAACACGGAAGCCTATCAATCGTTCCAGCTTGGTATAGGACCGGGAGCCTATAAAAGAGCGTTCTTAACGCACCGAAACGCTGTTACCACGGCGGTGAAGAGAGTAGTTGGAGCACCTTGTGTAACTGAAAATGAAAAGAAAGAGGTCTTACGAGCTGACCTAGAACGGAATGTGAGCCTGTGTCTTCACAACAGCTTTTGCAGGAATCGGGATCAAAAGGTGAATGTGGACTTGCTACCTTGTTGCAAACCGAGGCTGTTGGAACAGGAGAGTTGGGAGACAGCCCGCAACTCTATGGACATCTTGGAAAAAGTTCTAGAGGACAGTGAAACTGAAGATCAGGATGAAGAAGCAATGAAACAAGGATGATTGAAACAAAAGGAGAAGTGAAGACGTAAACAAGAGAGGGAGAGAAGGAGAAAACTTGATTGTCTTTGTGTGTTAAAACTTGAACTAATCAACCAAGTTTGATTATTGAAATTGTTAAACTTTCTGTTTTGATTTAGTTTGGTCAAACCAAACTTTGAAAATTGTTGCAATTGTTCAAATTGTTGAAAGAAAATTTTAGTTGTGCTACTTTTGTATATATATAGAACATAGGTGAGTATATTTACCTATTTAAACACGACTGATGTTTTTAACCTGTGTAAGACACGTGTTCACTGTGTGGCGATCTGGTAAGTTTGGGTAAACTCGCTCGAAGAGGGTGAGTGACTCAATAACTTTCCTAGCCACAGAGTTTCTTAGTTTTATTATCGAAGAGGACTGCATAGATAACTAATTATACCTAGTGAGTGACATTAAGTTAATTTTAACGGGTGCATGGCCGTGCCACGTCCCAATTTTTTAATCAGCAAGAGCGAAAAGAAGTTTTATGGCAAAAATTAATGTGAAAATGTTGAAAGACAGTGAGATGTAGTATGATGCCATTTGTGACCCGTAGTGAGTTGAGATGGCGTAGATAAATTTCATTTTGTTATGCGATTTGTAAGATTGATTATAGAGAACTGGAACACTACTTGACGATAACCCGGTGTTATGCGATCAATAGAGACATTGATGGGGACTGTCCCGGGAGTATGTGCCATTCGGTCAGATTGGCACAGCGCAACCTTCCAACGAAGCACGAATCAGAGAGAAAAGGCCTTAACAGCGAAAAAGTGCTAAAAAAGAGGGTCGAAGTATTCTGAAATTTTCTATTTTTTAAAATTTCGATCGTCAAGTTGATATTCTCAGAAGTACAAAAAACGGCCATTTTGACCAAAAAAGCTGAGAAAAACAGAACAACAGCAAATCTAGTGAAAAACAGTCGCACGAGAACGATAGAAAAACGAAGCCTCTTATCGTGGCAATCACGCACGATAAGACCCTTAGTGGAAGAAATTAGTGGGGAAGTGGTGGAAAGCAGTACCCTCCCGTGCCACGAATTGGGAGTGATAACACTGTAGTAACTTGACTTTTTAGCTACTCTGATGCCATAGAACTTTGAATTAACACCGGTATTGTTTGATATTTTAGAATATGAGTAGCTTTGAAGAGGAAAGGGTCAATCCATCTCCAATGGATTTAATACAGAACTGTCACCAAAAACATATTAAAAAAGGGTATTCGAGCCGTGTTTGTAAAAACAATCACGTAGTCTGAGGATCCGAGACTCAGCTATGTGGTTGCGTTCGCATGTAAGCGAAAGCTGATCAAAAGTCGTTTGACTGATGGCCTAAAAACAGTAACTTTTTACTTAGCCCTAAACAAACCCGAAAATCAACTGGCAAGGTCGAGACGGTGAAAAACGAGTAGGATTAAGGTAACTGACGCCTGCCAGTTGTTATTAGGTACTTTTTCTACGCTCCGTCGCTGTGTAGTATTTGGGCGAATGTTACAAAGCTTACATGTAGTGGATGTAACTCCACCAATGTCGGTCAGACAGTCCGACATTTAGCCACGAGGGTCGATGAACACCGCATAGGGGACTACCAGAAGGACAACACTTGTTAGAACATAATGAGGTAGGCGGTACTGCTGAGGTGAATAAAAAGACTAAAAAATCTCAGAAATTTACAGGAAAATGTTCTTCATGATTATGTAATTGTTTTATGTAATTACAGTTGCTCAAATTTGGTTGGTTAAAAAGTTTTAGATCATTTTTAGACACGTTTCTCATTTTTCAGATCTTTGATCGTTTTGTAAATATTGTTAAAAAAATTTTAACCCTGATGATGCACAGAATGTGCGAAAACGTTTGAATTAAAATTTTAAATTTCTTACAAACTTTTAGCTTCCTGGTCATTCCCTGAGTTGAGTTTAATTAACATTCAGACTCAGTTTCAGAGAATGAGAAGCTAGGAGTGAGGGTGATCCATCTTCGATGGAGATGATGATTTTTATCTACTGAACAAAAACAATAGTAATATAATAAATAGTAGTAGCCCTGTTTTAAGGAGTGACCTCGTGGTCTGGGATACTGAAATTTTAAAAGCGTAGAAAATCACCAAGAGAACTGGCTTTGGCAGAGACGGTGAAAAGCATGTAGAGCTGTGTTTAGACGCTAGAGGGTCGTTTTAGAACCTAGCTTTGTTTTCCGTCGATATGTACTTCCGGGCGAATGTTACATAGACATTCTGGTCGAATGTTACACAAGTCGATAAAATGAAAACAATAATATCTGTCCGAACTGACCATTCCCAGTTCGTTGATTTTAGTCACTAAAACCGTAAATCATCAGAATGATCAAATCGTATGCCGAAACTCCCGAACTGAAACTCGTTGGTGTGTTTTATGTTTTCTGAACTCTCATGTTTTCCTTGTCTGAAAAAGAGTTAGACGTCAAGTAAATTCAATCCGAGACATTTCAGGAAGCTTAAAATTTATAGAATTGTCTCTCCGTTCACTGGAAGACCCTTCCGGATTCGTAGTCTTCACCAGATAAGCTCCTTCTTCAGCACCTGGAAGTGTTGCAATCCAGTGTCCCAGCTTTCCCGATAGATAAAATTAGCTTGGTAACAATCGTGACAGCATAATTGCTACTTTCCGGAAAGATTTCAGATGTTCACCTTCGTTGAAATTGTGTTTCTAATCTTTGTTTGCATAGTACAGCGTTTTCTCCCTTTTCTGACAACCATAATCGGCCTAACGATTTTTGCGCTTTTCAGTGGCCGCGAAAATTAAAATTGTCAAGTGTCTTTTAAACCAATTTTTAAAAATCAACATCTCAGTCGAAACTGACCCTTCCTAGTTTGTTCGTTTCTTCAAAATAGCATGTTAATGGTCAAAAGTATTATTTCGTATGACTCCGCCATCATGAAAACTTATTAAATAGATTCCTCTTCCCTCGTTCAAACTGTGTGTTTTCAGAAAAGTTTTAGCTAGGAACAAGAACACCTTATTCGAAACGAAAAAAGTCCCGTCCGTTCCTAGCCGTGGATGGGTGAAAACCAATGAGATTTCACATATTCAAGAAATCGTCGTCGCAACACTTGTTGATCGGAGACTCACAATTGAAGAATCTAACTTTCCCAAATTTCAATATCTTCAGCCTTCCTGGTGCAGGTATCGCGGATGTTCTAAACTTCTTGCCACGCAAGAACGAATACGATATTATAGTTCTATTCATTGGTGCGAACGATCTGTTTACGAAAGACATAAAAGACTCAACGAGAACACCCGAAGACGTTGCTGAAGAATTATCCCAACTTGGCCTACGGTTGACAGAACGTTGCAATAAAGTTTTCATTATCGCTCTACCACCCAGAGTCGGAAGACCAGCCCGAACGGAACGTGTAAAACTGTTCTATCTTCCGACGAAGTGCATTTAACAACAGCATCGCTTGCGAGTCTCCAAACGATTTTGAAAAAGAAGATCATCTACAAGAAGTTCTGTGTAAAAACTGATAGCGAGGGCTACTCGAATATATAACACTGCGGCAACAACATTTGTCGGTGTCATCATTTTCACAGAGACTGAATTTTCTATTGATACCCTTTAGGTATCGCCAGATTTGATGTCTTTGTGAATTCACATCTATAAATAAAACCGTTTTCTCCCGCTAGTCATCAAGTACCCTAAAGGTCCCAAAGAACTGTTTTCATAACCCTAACACTGATACTTCAGTCCTCAATCGGCGCCCTTTAGGTACCACCCTGAGGACTCGAGTACACTACCTAAACCTTCATCCCCCAAACACAGTTTCCACAGAGATAAGAGGACGTAAACATAAATAAAACTGAGAATGTCAAAGGACAAAAAACCTTGCAAAACATGCAAGAAACCCATTAACGAAAATGACCCAACATACAATTGCATCACCTGTAATTGCTCTATGCCCCTTGAAGTTGTCTGCACTAGCCTCTCGACCGTTGCACTCAATGGAATAGTGGAACTTGGTAACAACGCACTACTGATATGCAATACCTGTTTGTCCAACGGAAAAAGAGATCAAGTAATCAGAAGCACAGCATCACATGACAAAAGTGAAAACATCAAAAAAAATTGAAGAAGAAATTTCAAAATTAAGTAAAGTAGTAGCCGAAGTCTCGACAAAAATGGAAAATATTAAAGATCCCATCCAAAGCCTGCCAATAGCAGAACAGGGTAAAACCTGGTCACAAGTAGCGGCGCAAAACATAATCAAACCCCTGAGCAAAGGACTGAGAATAAGAGGGGTCCCCGAGATCAAGGAAAGAGATGGAAGAAAAAGACTTGACCATGACTATGATGAGGTAAGTAAAATCATGAAATTCTTAAACCTCGAATGCAATATCACTGAGCTCAAGCGTTTGGTAAAGTTCAGCGAAGAACGAGCAAACCACAGAACTATACTGGTACGAGTAACCTGTCCAAGAGAAATTGACTTGATACTACCATCAACACCGGCCCTCAAAAATTATGACAAAAATGTCTTCATAAGTAAGGAACTCTCAGTCGAAGAAATGAAACTGGAAAACGCCATCCTGAGAGAACGTAGAAATCTCATCAGCAGTGGTAAAAACCCCAAAAATCTTCGAATCAGAAACCTAGAACTGCATGAAAAAGTAGACGACACCTGGACAAAAGTTACAATTAAACCGGAGGAAAACAGCACAATTCAGACTAGAAATGACAACTGACTAGAATCGCTGAATGTTATGTCATTCAATACACGAAGTATACTGGATATAAATAGACGTATGAAACTTAGCAATATAATACTATCGAACGATTATGACATCATTTGCTTAAGCGAAACTTGGTTAACTGAAAATATCCCTGACAACGCGCTTTTTCTGCCTGCACACATAATAACTAGATGTGATAGACGTACCAACTCAACAAAATTGAAACACGGGGGCGTGCTTATTGCTGTTAAGCAATCCCTAGCTTTCACAAAACTTGAAATACACACTACGGACTGCGTTGGACTCCTCCTTAACACTCCGACACCTCTCATCCTATGCTGTATCTACAGTGCCCCGAACGAAAGCAAATATAAGCTATCCACAGATGACTTCAACAAACTATTGAATATGCTAACTGACTACTCAAATGAATTTCAATGCCCAAATATTTTATTGGTTGGTGACATCAACTTCGCTAATACGCATTGGCAAACCTTGCAATCAACACAAAAACACGAATAATTAGTACTGCAGACTTTTACTGATATGAACTTTCAACAGTTTATCGAACCCCCTCATGACCAATTAGATTTTGTCCTTTGCAACAACCCCGACATTATTTTAAACACCACGATAGACAACCATATGAAAAAACACTTCTCACACCAAGAAAGAGAATTATCAGACCACAACCCTTTTCTAATCACGATATCATCTCTTACACACAATGACGAAAAAGCCACTCCCATACAACACGGATCCGACTTTCTGGACTTTGGTGTCTTCTCATTAAACAACGTCGATTGGATTACTTTAAACAAATACATTTTGGAACACCCATTTCAACCGTACTGCTACTCTAACATTGACCACATAATCAACTCATGGTACCTCTGGCTATATATAGCACTAGAAAAACACATGAAAAAACAGACCAAACACCGTATGAACCTAGCACCTTGGATCACACCTGAAACCTCCAATATTATCAAAAAAACTCAACACAGCATCAAAAAAGTAGCCTTTAAAAAGACTCATTCTAATAACCGCAATCTTGAAAGAATTAAAAACCTTGTAGATCATTTATCCGAATTAGATCAGAAAAATTTCGAGGAATCAACTTTCAAGGGCAGTAATTTCTCAAAGCTCCAAAAATACTTTAAAAGCATACGAAAAAACTCAAGTACTCCAAAAACAATGCACTGGAATGAAAAAACCGAATCAGCAGAGCACGGTAAAGCTAATCTTCTAAACAATTACTTCGTAAGCGTTTTTAATATTAAACAGAATGAAAACATTTTACCATTAGCTGAATTACCTGGCTCAATCAAATGCTTCAATTTCTCTGAAAATGAGATATACGACATCCTTAAAACATTAAACCTCCAAAAAGCAAGAGGACCAGATAGACTCGGTAACACAGTCCTAACCAGTTTAGCAGATAGCATAACTTCATCTCTAAAACTGATTTATAACACGATCACCAACAAAGCAACATTTCCAACGATCTGGAAACTTAGCCAAATCATCCCAACTTTTAAAAATGGAGACAAGCAATCGGTCACAAACTACAGGCCCATCAGCCTGCTAACTGCAGTATCCAAAGTCTTAGAGAAACTGATCTTCCTTAAAATCTCACCGAAGATCTTCTCGCAAATCCATGACAGCGAATTTGGCTTCTGTCCTAAACGATCGACAACTCTGCAAATGCTTCAATTCCTCGACAAAATCTATGATGACTTTGATAACCCTAATATCAAGTCTCTACAGGCAATATACTTAGACTTCGAAAAGGCTTTCGACAAAGTTCCTCACGACTTGTGCATATATAAACTCAATAAATTTGGCATATCAGGAAACGCACTTAAACTATTCGCAAACTAATTAACCAACAGAAAACAGCAAGTACGAATAGGTGCGGCAGTATCCAGCCATCTTGAAGTTAGTAGCGGCGTACCTCAAGGCTCACTGTTAGGGCCAGTATTCTTCATTACATTCATCAACGATTTACCGTCATCACTCACCAACTCGTGCTATGGTTACGCAGACGATTATAAAATTGTTGCAACGAACCCTTCCCTGCTCCAACATGACCTAATCACGATCAACTTATGGTGCAAAGATAATTCCATGAGTCTTAATTTGAAAAAATGTCACAATATAATATTCAAAGACCCTCAACTTGACCTAAACATGTATCTCGGTGACCATATACTTGAAAAAACCTGTTCAGAAAAAGACCTTGGTATACAAATAACCAACAACCTAAACTGGTCAGCACACGCAAAAATAAGAGCCCAAAAAGCAATATGCTGCTTATTTTTAATTAAAAGAAATATTTCAAAATCAGCGAGCTTAAACATGAAACTGAACTCCTACTGTGGATATGTAACCCCAATTGTGTCATATGGCTCAACCATATGGAAAGCAAATAGGTGTGAATTAAAAATTATTGAAGATGACCAAAGGAAAGCTACACGTTGGATACTGTCATGTAAAACATCAACTATAAAGACAGACTGATTAGATTAAACCTGCTTCCACTGTCTCTCTACCACGAAATGCACGACATTCTCTTGCTTCATAAAATAATAAACGACCAATACAACTTCCATTGGAGACAATTTGTTCAGTTCAAAGAATCTACAGCCCCAACAAGAACATCAACGAAAAATAACTTAGCGCATAAAAATTATCATTACGAAAAATCGAAAAGCAATTTCTGGCACAGAACACCTATACTAGCAAAAAAAATTTTACAGACTCAGGAAGAAGAAGACCTGTTTGCGATGAAATACGAAAGACTCAAATCAAGCCTCAAAAACGTTTTCTGGATATATTTCATCAGTAAATATGAGGAAAGTGTCCCATGCACATGGAGAATAAACTGCTGCAATAGCTGTGTAAACTCAAAGAAACTATAAAACTCAGTTTAAAACTCCCAACGCGGGGCATTTTAGCCCCATGGCTTTATGTCTAAATCCTTGTTTATTATTATTATTATTATTTCATCCAATCATAAAATTTGTTTCGCCGACATTCTGGCCAAATGGCCCAATCGGACGTCAGCCAGTCGTCAATAGGCCTTTTTCTACTTTCCGCTGCTCTGTAACTTCTGGGCGAATGATACATGGTAACAGCTAGCATAAGGAGTATAACGTAGATAACATTAATGATGAACATCTTGGCTCTGTCGCTATATGAAATCAACTGATTGGCATCAATGTATCCATGCTCGTGTCTCGACCCTCACTCAACGAAGCTGAAGTCTCGTAAATATTTTATTTACATCGTTTTAGGTAAAAATGAATGAAACAGATGACAGATTCGTCACAATGGAAGACGCGCGTTTGCTTTTTCGAAACCGTTTTGTTGTTTTCATGGGAGATTCAGTTGTTCGATCTATGTACAAAGATTTCGTTACACTTCTTCAGCAAGAGCAATTGACGGTGAATGAAGTAGACCTTAGACCAAAGGTAAGGTGATTGTCTTAATTGAAAGGGGAACCTCATCATTGAAGACTTTTCAGAGGCACAGTATCACATACATTTACATCCACAGCTATTCAACTAAATATAGAGTGTCGCAGCTACTGAAGCTGTAGGGTCGGTCAAAGTCTAGCCAATGAATGATTGTGATAAGCAAGCTTTATCAAGTTTTTTTCAAGCTTTTACTTTTACTTAGTTTACAAAGTCATGTAATCATTGAACCAATAGACATTGCAAACGGGTACTAAAATTTTGCCTCGTGTTCTGTACTTATTTTGTGTTTTGAGGGGAGAGGGACTTCGTTTTAATATATATATTTTAAAATTTCACATCTTTTTGAAATGTTGTTTTGATTATATAGTTAACAATAAATATGATTTATTTAACCATTGCTATAGAAAAGAAAAATATAATTACCGAATACACAACAAACAAACACCGAATACAAAACGAATACAAAACAAACAACAAATGTGGGATGAACCATTGAGGATTGAAAAGAGAGGGGGAATGCACTAACAGCAAAGGATCAAAGGAGCACCAGAATTGGGAAGGCAAAAACGTAATAAACTGCACAAGACTAGATGGCCCGACTGACAATCATAGTGGCGTTTCCTCTCATGAGGCACACTGAGAGGCTCTGGAGAAGGCGAACTGGGGCAACACAAGCGTCACGTGAACCAGAACGTCTGGCATCAGCGAGGATAGCAACTGACTTGAGGGTTTTGATAGCTAAAGCGGACCAACCCCCGAGCGTTTCGACTGCTAACGGGAAAAAACTGATTCCTTGTTCCTCACAGTTTTTCTCGTGTTTCGAAAATTTGCGGTCCTCAGCAACTTCCAGGGACGCCCCGGGGGTCTCCGCCGCACGAGACAGAAGAGATAACTGCAGCGGGGATGTCACGGTGACTTCGAAAGCAGCTGGGCGACCAGCGCTCCAAGTAGGGACAAAAATATCGCCTGGTTTGGAGGTTCCGTTGCTCCTTGATGGGGGCTAAAGAGGCAGCCGTGGTAGCATTGAAAATAATGTCCCGTAGTGTCGTGACGGGAGATCCGGCCACCACTCCCCCCGCAAGCGACAGCGTGGTCCCCGAGGACGTCCAGAATGCCAGACGGACACGCGGGGCACCTACGAGCAGACGCGAACACAGGAAGACCAAGGCGGTATCTGACAGCAGCTTGGAACTCAGCAGGAAGCAGGTGCAGGCCAAGACTTTTAATGGGGACTGTGGTAAGCCAAGCGCCGGCGTAAGGCAGAGAGAGCGACTGAAGACGAGCTTGCTCGCGGGAATCGGGAAGAGATGAGAAGAAAGCGTTGTAGGTGGCCTTATCGAGTTTCTCTTGGAAAGCTTCTTGAGTAAAACCGGGAGTGTTAACGCTTCCAGACTGTTCACGGAAGTCGTTAGAGGCACGCAGGAACTCCGGCGTATCAGTGATGTCGCATTCGGTAAGAAACGAGACCAAATGAGCTGACTGACACGAAGACCCTAGGAAGGCAGGGATGTGTTGGTCGCGAGCCTGCCGGACGCCAAGTCCGCCATCTTTGATAGGCAGGGAAGACTGGGACCAGGCAAGATCAGGAACAGGTGAGCCAACTATGACAGAAAGAGCATCGCGGAGGAGTTCATCAAAAACTTGCAGGGAAGCTGCGACAGGCTGAGAGGGCGGCTGAGTGCAAAGAGAGTACGTCAGCTTGGGAGCAGCAAGGCAAGTGCGAGTGATGCCAAGTGAGAGCTGGGGGTCATCAAGAAGAGGTAACTTTTCAAGACATTTGGTGGCTTTCGAGATGCGTTTGTCCAGGACTTTAACTGAGAACTCAGTATCACCAATGGGGGCGCCAAGAAGCTCGAAGCCATTAGACGCTGCTCTCGGGATAGAAACGGGGATGGACGAGAACTCCACAGGGGCCCACAACTCACACTTACTGTGCTTGACTTTGAGGCCGAGATGCAAGCCGTTGGAAGTGATGAATTCGAGAGCCTTGAGCAAGGAGTCTTCGTCGCCGGCACAAATACCATCATCAAGGTACCAGCAGTTGAGGGTGAGACCTGGGACTTCCGACTTGAGAGATTCGACAAGAGAGTGCGGGGTGACCGCAAAAATGAGAGGCCCTAGCGGATCCCCCTGTTGAACTCCTTTCTCGCTGTTGAGAATGACATCCTCGAACAGCAGACGACTGTGGTGACCGTAGGTATAGAAATGTTATAAAACGACAACTTTGAGTTGAGTTTAAACTTGCGTGACCGCAGTTCTTGTCGTGATTGTGGATCAGGTTTCTCGCGAGCCAGCAGCAGCATGTGTGTAGATCCAACAGGGCTGTGACCGTTCTGCACACGGTTGAAAGCTAAAACCAGAAACACTGTGGAGAAGAAAGAGGCAAACAATTGCATGCCTAACGTAGGAGAGGTCTCACCCAGACGTAGAGATAACGAAGGCAGAAGGGGAGAGCCAGAGTCAAGATCGGGCTACGGGTTCCACACCAGGAGCCCAGAAATCCAGTGCGGAGTCCAGACCAGATCGTGGATGGCACGCTACCTGAAGACCAGTGGTCCACTTCGGGCAGGTCAGGAAGTGTGCGACGTCCAGCCAGGTGATCACCAGCACATACTCATCTGAAACTATTTAATAAGTTTATCACAACAATTAGGCTAAATGTTGTTTTTGGCTTGAGGGTTTGTGCGCAGGTTTTTCGCCTTTGTTACCACTGAGTAATTTTCTTTCGATGTCCAATTCGCTTAATTGGGAGTCATATTGTTTCTTGTTCTTGTCATGCTGTTTGATTTCTGATCTTGGGAAAAACATCAATGTTGCATAAAACGTTTTCGACAAAAAGTCGTCATCAGTAAAATCTGAAAAGCAATGGAATGTACAGATTAAAAGCACAAACTCAGAAAATCACAAGAACTGAAGAGAACAGATAAAACTGCAATAGAAAGAAATTGATGAAACTAGCCACGAAAATGTGGAACAATGTAGTTACAGCTTCAGTGTAAGTTCGCGTGCATTGTACTCCTCTTTCCTGTTAATCAGAGGCTTCTTCCGCTTGATATGCAAGGCTTCTTAAGTCAAAAGTTTAGCAGAGTCTCTGGCTGTGTCGATAATCTTCACTTCGCATTTCTCAAGAGCAGAACCACTTGTCTGTAAGTGCTCTCCAACTGGACTACTGGTTCTGGAATGTTCGTTCAGTCTTGTGGCAAGGTGGCGGGTAGTTTGCCAGACATAGCTAGATTGGCATCTAGAGCATTCAATTTCGTACACCACATTACTGCGAACAGATTCTGGAACTTTCGACTTGATAGTTGGCAGCACTGTTTCCATCTGTCTGGTTGTGAAAATGAGAGAAACATTGGCCATTTTTCTAAAGCGTTTAGTAAAAACGTCCCTCTTGTTGCCTCTGTTCTGCATCACGAAAGGAACACGGATATGTTTCTTCTTAGCTTGAGAAGCCGGAGGTTCTTCTGATGGCCCGTGGAGAATCCTAGTAACCCTTTCACGAGTGATGGGCTCGTAAAAACTGAGATGGGTATTGATTTTTCTCCAACATCTGGCTAGCTTCGCAGATGCTACCAGTGAAAAACTACCAACATAAAGAAGTGTTAAAGATGTTTCATTTCTATTTTTTTTCGCAAGTGATACGAAGCTCAGCTTCACCTGTGTTGAAATGTATGTCCATTTGGTAGTAAAACAACCGTTGAAGTCAAAATTGCTTTCTTGATTTGACTAATGTTACTGTTTTCGTAAAACTGCATCGAGCATTTGAATTCTATAATACTAACCAGGATACCGTGCAAGTAGCAAAGAATGTTCCGACCCTTGTCTTAAAAAGGTACAAAATTTTTTTTTCTGCGTGATGTGATAAAGGATCTGAACGAACACCCAGAGCTTAAGAATATTCAATATTCATAATAAAATGAGCAAATTGGAAAACCCCCTTTTTACTAGAAAAATGACCAGAAAAGCAAAAAATCAAAACAAAAAAGTTTATGATATTTAACAATTTTTTTTGCTCAAGGTTTTTGAAGGTTTTGATTCCCAAAATGACGTTAATAACTCCATAAACCAATTTTACCTAAATCAAAATAAAATTGGCACAAATAATGTATTGTAAACGGCCTTAATTAAGCATAAGTAAGCCTGCTCACTTGCTTTACTCGCTCGAAACCAGACCAAAAATCAGAACTTTCAAACGAGTTTTTTGTCGATACTTACAGAAATTTGTTTTTCATTTTTTTTTTCTAATGATCGAATAACCACACTGAAAGGGCTCTAATATGATATATCACTGACCTTTTCCGATGATTATTTGTGGTACCTGATTTTGCGTTGGAAAAAATTAACACATCCGAGTGCAAAGCTCCTCCCCATGTTTCAAATGGTCGGAACAATAACCACGAGCTTAGGGCAGCGCCAGTTCTTGAGATTCTAGTTGGTCAAAGTTTAGTTTCTGTATGTTTCGATCTCAAAATTTCTTGAACAATTGTTTTTCTTTCTTGCGTTTCTGGCGATTTGAGGCCTTCATTTGGTTTAGGGAGGCGTACTACCTTCGATTTTTTCCACATTTGAGGTATGATGTTGACAGAAAGAGAGCCTGGTCCGAAGAAAGTTGAGAACTGATCTTAAGGCTTTAGACGGTTTCATCTTTTTTACAGTTTTCTACTTCGAGTGCTATAAAACTGAGTCAGCTAAGCTGAGTTTCAGAGCTTTCCGCTTGGTTACCCTGAGCTTTGTTGCTTCTGTGTGCCCTCAGTTTTCTCTGAGAAGCTTCAAACTCTCCTTTCGTAACAAAAAATAATTTCTCTTCAGTTCTCTATACTTTTCCGTTCAAAATACTTTTGTTACTATAAGTATTTTAAAAAATATTGACAATTCAGTTCTCACCGATACAAAATATCAGTTAACTAATTAAAGGCTGATAAAGTCTATGGTAGAGAAAGCTACCACTCAGACAAACTTAGGGATGGAAAAACGAACCATACTCAACTCACTTC